ATGAATCATATGTTGAAATAAGTATAAATTGATCCTAATAGAAATTATATAAATTAATGAAATTAACAGCAATAAAGATTAATTAATAAAAACAAAAACTCTATTACCTTATCAAAAATACAAAAGAAGCAACAAGTCCATAATTAAAATTCATCGAAGTCAATTAATATAAAATATATTTGAAAACTGTAAGTCATTTTGCGGTATCTTATCACTATGATGTCAAAAAAGGTAATGTAGTTGAAAGTCACAAGCGAAGGAAAGGAGAAAACAACAAGGAAGGAACATTTAAGAAAAGGAAAGGGAATGTATCATATTGGTTGTTGACAATTTACGGTCGATACAAAAATTGGTTAATTATCATATTGGTGTATATCTCGGGCAATGACTCAGTGTCATTTTGTTTATTTATACCATGTGTCTGTTTTTTAATGTGATCTCAGATATTAATCTTTTTCTGTAAGAAGGTTCTATATCCAAAATCTCAACATTGTTCCATTTAAAATTATGATTCAATTTTAATCTGTGGTCAGTTACCACAGAAGGAGATTTTGAACCTTTGTTAATATCCGAGACATGTTCATGTAGTCTTGTTTTTAATTGTCTCTTAGTTTGTCCTACATAGCTAGCTTCACAATTCTCACAGGATATTTTATATACAACATTTTGATTGAGTGTGTAATCCAACTTATCATTACCTCTTGTAATGTAATTTTTTAATGTATTCGGAATAGTATAAGCAAGCTTGCAGTGTAACATACTGGCAACAGATTTAAACTTCTCAGAAACATTGTTAATAAAAGGAATAGCGAAAAATTTATCTGGAATATTAGTAGTTATTATTAGAATTAATATTATTAATATGGTATTTTAACCTATTGTGAATTGTAAAAAATATAAATTGAAGAGGATATCCATTTTGTAAAAAAATATTAATGGCATCTACTAAATTATTTCTTTGAAAAGTTGGATGACACACTCGTAAAATTTTATCCACAACACCATATATAACACCTCTTTTATGACACGTAGGATGATGAGAATGAAAATTAAGGTATCTTCCTGAGAAAGTGGGTTTGTGATAGCAATCAAAAATCAAACTACTCTCCTTTACAATAATCATATTCTAAAAAGCTTATTTTTCCTTCTTTGCCAATTTCAATAGTAAATTGTAATCTTGTATGTAACAAATTAAAAACATCTAATGTGTCATTGATGCTCTTAGATGGAACCACTAAGATAATGTCATCAACATATCGGTAATAAAATAAAGGATGGAACGGAAGTAATTCTATTGCTGTTTTTTCAAAGTCTTGCATGACAATGTCAGCAACCACTGGTGATAGTGGAGATCCCATAGGAGTTCCGAAAATTTGTATATAATATTTATTATTAAACATGAAAAATGTGGAATTGAGTACTAATTTAAAAGCTATCATAAATTCCTCAAGTGGAATTTTTGTCTTTTTTGATATTGAATCCCATCTTCGAACAACACTTTCAGCTGCTAATTCTAAAGGTATGTTAGTGAATAGGGAAACAACATCTAAAGAAACCAATGAGGAATTAGAATCAATCTTGACATTTTTAATTTTGTCAATTAAATCAAAACTATTTTTTTACAAAACTTGGAGCTTTTTCTATGGAACCATCAATAATATTATGTAAAAAAGTTGCTAAATAATATAGAGGACTATTAACAGAAGACACAATGATTCTCATAGGATAATGAATTTTATGGATTTTTGTTAAACCGTATGCTCTTGGGACATTACCGTCAGTAGTGAGTAACTTTTTATAAGTTATGTTATCGATAAAACCTTTGTTTTTCCATCGAACCAATATATTTTTTAAATCTGAGGTAAATTTTTTGGTAGGATCTTTCTTTATAATTTCATATATATTATTATCAGAAGGCATCAATTCAATCTTGTTAACATAATCAGTCCTGTTAAGAACAACAGTTACATTACCCTTGTCGGCCCTGGAAAAAAACACCTCAGGATGATCATTAGTGAACTTTCTTGTAGACTTTATACAATCAAATATCATTTTACTATTTGAGTCCTTTTTTGGAAACTTATTATAAAAACTCTCTAATATTGGAACTGCATTTATTATTCCTAACAAAATTAATAATATTGTTTGGACGATTGCAAATATTACATTCTATGCTTTTTACTAATTCGATAAATGTATAATCTGGGAGTCCAAAACCTTCGCCTAACTGTAATAAATACCTGGACGTCATCAGGAATTTCAACATTACTAGAGACCCTACCAGAGTCTGGACACGAGCGCGATTGTGGCAAAATGCTACGAGAGAGAAAGATATATATACATATATATACACTATCTTTGTCTATTAATTCTAACCTTAATGTAATGTATATATTTGTATATTCTCTTTCATTTAAGTTAACAGCGTAAAAAATATTAAATATTAAAAATAATAATATTAAATAAGATTTTAAATTGTAATTTGACTCTTATTCGCCATTTTTAACGTATTAATTATTGTTATATAAAAGAGTCCTTTAATTCTTCAATTATTTGTTTTCAAACCGCGGGCTGTAACAACGCGGGTAGTACATTGTTAGTCTATTCATTAAGTAAAAATTAGATTTAGCATTTATAATTGCGTTTCAAGACCGAAAATCCTTCGGCGCGCAAATATTTAGGAGGGGGGATATTTCAAATTATTAGAGTTGCGTTGCAAGACCGAAAATCTTTCGGCGCGCAATAATTAAGAAAAGGGGACATTTAAAAATCAGATTATTAGATTTGCGTTGCAAGACCGACAATTGTTCGGCGCGCAATTTGGGGGGACTACATATATTAATAGAACGTTATTTCTTACCTTGGATAAATATTGCGAAGAATATTACTACGTCGATCCGCCATCAGAGGTCTATCGATATTCGCAAATTCTCGCAAGTGCTGAGACACGCGTATATCTCTTTATATAGCATCTCGATTTAATAACTTACACCGGCGTCTAAGGTAGGCTTCCATTACAATACCTTACTGATGAGTCCAGTAGTGGAAGCCGGGACGAAACGCCAAAAATTACGTGATATTCTTCGCAATATAGAATATTAGAATAAATTATCAGATTCAGATTTTAAATTGTAATTTGACTCTTATTCGCCATTTTTAACGTATTAATTATTGTTATATAAAAGAGTCCTTTAATTCTTCAATTAATATTAAATAAATATTTATAGTAAAAATGGGTGGCTGCGCTTCTCCGTATTGTAATAATAGCTATCAAAGGATATTGATACAATGAAAAGATTTCCTGAAAATTCTGAACGACGAGTTATATGGGTAAAAAATGTTAACCGAGAAGATTGGGTACCGACAGACAATTCACTTCTTTGTGAAGTTACTTAATATTCGTTAAAAAAATTAAAATGTTTTAAAAGTTTATGTATACATTTCTATCCTATATGAATCTATAAGGTTATCGACGTTTGAATTGGAGCGGGAGTTGCCACAAACGACAGACCAATCAAAAATTGTCTCTCTCGTGTCCAGACTCTGGTATAGGGGTCTCTACACACCACTAAACTCTAGAGTTCCTCTAGTAAGAGTTAAGCCATCAGCCGGAAGCCGCCATTTTCTGGGACCACCCGACGCGCGAAGATTGAAACTGCATATTACGAATGAATTCGAAAGTGAACAGAATGAGAGTTATCATATAGGAATTGACTAGTGCAGATGCTATTGTTTCTCTTAGATGATATTCTATTAGCATAATACAAAACTTTCATCGTACACATTGAGTTTATATCTCAAATCTAGCTTAGGTTATTAAACCGTCTTTGTTCTTTATTTGATTTTACATTACCACTATCAGATTTCAAGTATATGAACTCTGTAGAGAATGTTTGTGGGTCTTTAATTTGAAATAGGTAATGAATAATTTGACGTAAATATCTATTAATTTTAACAGGTATCTTACAATTTATTAGTATATCACATAAACATTGCAGATTTCAAAATAAAAACTTCATTGCATAGAATGAGTTTATATTCGAAATCTTTCTTTTTGTTTTGAAGCCTTCAGTATAGCATATGTGATAAATTTTTTATGTAAATAATTATTAGTTTGAACAAAAATCTTATAGTAGTTGCAATGAAACATTCATCGCAAAGCGATTTCAGATTTCAAATTATCACCATTTAGTAAATCTTATTTAGTGAATCTTCTTTATTTATGCGTAAGGTTCAGCATTTCCAGATTTGAAGCGAAATGATTTTCTAATTCTAAGTTTATGTACTATATATTAGTATTCATATAGAAATTCCAAGTTACATTCAATTCTCTGTATTTTTTAATAATAAATCAAAGAAAATAATGATAATTTTGTGATAAGGAAACAGAATTCGGAACATAAAACTTCGATCATAGATCTTACCAAGTAAACGAGTCAGTTTATTAAAATAATTTTTTCGTGACTCAAGTGAAAAATAGAAAGTTTTTAAATACGTGTCAAATTTATAAAAATTCAAAACCTTATTTTTTGATAAATTGCAATTTTTATCTTTTTCATTCGAGTTACGAAAAATTCATTTTAATGTAATTTAAACGTGAAATTCTTTTTCGTAACTTAATTACATAATTATCGCATGGGAAATGATTGTCAATAACGTTTAAATTATGTTAAACTTACCTGAGTAAGAATTTCAATTTACTTTGACGTTTGGAATCTGCTCAATCTGCTGAAGCGTTTGAAAGAAGTACACAATTTTATGTATGTGTTGGTTGTGCACGTACAGGTTAACTCACTAACATAATCGTAGGGTCCCAAAACATGGCGTCGAAACTTCTGACCAATCGCGAGCGACGCCGCTGATGGCTTAACTCTTACTAGAGGAACTCTACTAAACTCATTTTTTAATATGATTTTAAATTTCGCGGCTAAACGCATGCGCATGTGGTCAGATAGCATGAAGAAGGCATGCGCGTAGTACTATATTTGTAGTCGATATGACTGATTTCCTAACCTGAATAGTCGTCAACTTTAACGGTTAATATCTCGGTTCGTAGGGTAGAGCGACACTTTTTTCTGCCAGATTCTTTCGTTTCATGCAAAAATGCATTGATTGAGTATATTTTTATCAAAATTGGAGAGGAGCGGGGTATTCTTTACCTTTACCTTTTGTGTCAAACCTCTCTCTTTTTCTCTCTCTCTCTCTCTCTCTCTTTCTCTCTCTCTAACAGGTATTTTGAAATATTTATAGATTTACGAAAGATACACAAGTGCCCTTGATAATTTATCACGTAAATTTTGGTAATTCGTGAACATGTCATTAATAAGGAAACCCATGCGATATGCTCATCAAGAAGGACACACCGACGTTTGCTATTATTCTGGCGAAAAGTAAATAATATATTGAATATATTATTTTTGTATATATACAGAATCTGTCAGGAAGTTATTATTGAATGTGTTTGGAATTGTAGGAGAGGACTCGTTACTTGTGGACGTGATGGAGACGTTAGATTCTGGTTAAATTTAATGGACGATGATCCAACCACCAGTTGTATTTCGGAACAAGCAATTACAGCTATTTCAAAGGTATCTAATAATTGCCAAGTATTAATGAACACCAATAAAAATTCTCTTCTAAAGAAATGCTGTATTAAGATGACATATAAAAAAGACAATATAAATATATATATATATATATATGTAACAAAGTTTTAATTTTAGAATGGTAAAATTTTTGTGGGAAATGACAATAATACTGTACAAATACTTACTTATCCTGATTTAGAAAAGGAAGGAATAGTTACTAGATTTTCAGCACCAGTTTCAGCATTGGCAACAACAAAAAATAGTAGTTTAATAATATCTGGTGCTTGGTATGTAACGAGAAAATTCTGCATTTGTTACATGTGCATTATATATACAAAATTCTTTAGCAACTTATGTCTTTTTTTTTAAAGTGATATGCGAATACAAGTTACAAACATTAATACTTCAGACAGTATAGAACTAGAGGGTCATGAAGCACCTATCTTAGGTCTATCTTTAGATCCAAAAGAAGAATTTGTGGTAAGATTCATTACATCACTCTTTAATACTTTATTTGATAAAAGCGATATTTTAGATTTGAAACTGATGTTTCCAGGCATCTTCTAGTGCTGATGGATCTATTCGAGTATGGAATATTAAAGAAAAGCAAACAGTACATATTTGGAATAATATTGTACCAAAATGTAACTCCTTTTTTATTGCAAAGTCATATTGTACACCTTCTTTTAAATGTACAGATGGCAGTTGCTTAGCATATCCATCTAATAAAGATGTAGTTATTGTGGAAAGATTATCCTGGAAGGAATTGTGTAGATTGAAATGTCCTACTTTAAAAACTGTAAGCTAATGTCTCAATTTTTTATCTATCCTAATAATTGAATTATTGCTTTTCTATCTTTATTTTTTATAGGACATTAGCATTTGTAAATTTTCTGAGTGTGGCACGCGCATCGCGGCTAGTTCACTGTATGGAGAGATAGTTGTATGGAATGTAGAAACCAAGGAAATGATTGGATATCTCGAACACGAACAAGATGCCAAAATCACTGCATTGGTGTGGCACATAGATCATTCAAATGAAATTGCATTCTGTGATGCACTAGGAAAATTAGGATGCATTGATGTGGTAAGAGAATACTTTTACGAAATACATATTTATATTTTACACATGCATGCACATATATACATGTATAAATTTTGTTACTATATTTAGAATGTCTGCAACAATCTTTTCAGATAAGCGTTAGTAAGCCTAGAAGTGAGGTAATCTTAGATTTTGAACAAAATGAAGATGTAATGGAAAATGATATTTTATCGGACAATGACGATGATGACGAAAATGTGATATCCCTGAATAAAATAAAGGCCTCTATCAATTTAAAGAACGACGAAAAATCTAATTTTGATGTAGACTTTGAAAAGCCTTCATGTGACACAAAGACTTTTATACCTAACGTAAAATTGCAATCATCTTTTCAACCTGGATCTACACCCTCTCATTTATTATCATATTTCATGGTACAGTACAATAATGAAGCTTGTGTATCTTACGCTGACAATCTTTAAATATTAATTTAATCTTTATGTAATATAAATTTATGTAGATGTGGAACGATGTGGGAATGATTAGATGTTTTTCATCAGAGGATGGAGAAGAATGTAGTATTGAAGTAGAGTTTCATGATGTTACGGTTCATCGCAGTATGCATATAAATAATTATTTGCGACACTCTTTAGCTGCCCTGTCTACTCAAGCACTTGTTCTAAGTTGTCCAGCTTCTGAAGATGGTCCTAGTAAAATCGTCGTGATAGCTTTGCAAGGTTAGTTATTTTATTGTGTAGTTATATAATAATTTATAATTATATGTCAATATATATACTTCAAAATCTAAATCATAGAATACAAAAAATTTTTGGACATCCTTATTTTATGAGAGAGTTATAAATTGAAGAAAATTCTCAAAATCTCTAATGATGTATTTTAAAATTGTAAAATGTTGAAACAAAGAGTAATACACTCGCTTGTTTTCCTGTATCAGGTTGGGGTTCTGGAAATAAAGAATGGTCTTTAGACCTACCAGAAGGAGAAGAAAGCGAATGCTTAGCGGTTGGTGATAATTTTGTTGCAGTAGCAACGTCTAGAAGAAATTTAAGAATATTCATGATAGGAGGAACACAACGTGAGATTTTAGCTCTGCCTGGGCCTGTAGTTGTAATGAATGGTCTAGGTAATCATCTTGTAATAGCTTATCACGCTGGAGTTGGTAAGAAAAATTTTTAATGGGTAGAATGAAAAGACTCATAACTAAAAATAACTAATTATATGTATGTATTAAATAGTGTAAAATACTTTTCTTTGCAAAAAGGTCCAGCGGGTGATCAGAATATAAGTTTATTATGGATACAAATACAGGGAGCGCATTTACGCAGTCAAACTTTAACGCTTCCGCTTTCGCCAACATCGGATCTCATGTGGTTGGGATTATCAGATGCTCGTTCGCCCACTATCATGGATTCTGACGATGTTATTAGGATATACGATAAGAAATCTTGCCAATGGAGAGTACTCTGTGATGCAAATGCACAGGTGTGTTGCAAATTATGGACCATTTTTGCAGCAGTGGGTGTAACTTGAGATTCTGTTTTAGGGAAAAGGTAGAGCAGATCACTATTTCATAATCGGTGTGAGCGAATACGAACGGAATATGCGATGTATCCTCTGTAAAGGTAGTTATTATCCTCCAACTACCCCGCGACCAATAATTACCGAGGTATCGCTATCTGCACCTCTCTGCGAACCGGAATCTGAAAAAACTGAAAAAGAACGTAAACTATGGGAGATAGGAAATAATCCGTTGGATGAAACTGAAGCAATATTAACTTTAATAGCGGTAAATAATTCTTGTAACACTTTCGTTTCTACTTTAGTATTTTCGATTACAAATTCAATACACATCGAGTCTTGTAATTATCTATGTTTGCTGATACTTAATCTCTTGTAATCAGCTTGCCTGCAAAAGCAATTTGGAATATCGTGCAGTGGACATTTGCGAACAAATTGCGTCAACGAAAGTGATTGATTTAGCCGTACGGTATGCCTTGCGTTTAAATAAAATGGCTTTGGCAAATAAATTAGAGACGATCGCTGACGCAAAATCAGATTCCAAAAATACAAGAGAAGAAGAAATGGAAAATCATCAAGACGATTTTACAAGTAATAATTCTAATAATCAAGACAATAATCAAGAAGACAATGATGTGTCTTTACCATCCATTAAAAAACCAGAGATAGAGATTAAGCCATTGGTCATGAGTCAAACATTAAAAAGAGTAAATCCATTTTTAAAAGCCGGAAGTCCATCTCTATCGCCAAGAGGTAAATAATTCTTGCTTTAAAAAAATATATTTTAATTCTATGACATTTTTTCATTATTTAAAATATTTTTAATCCTATTTACGCAGGGTTAGCTGGTTTAAATAGTTTACCCAAGAAGCCCCAAAAACCTGTGTTACCTAACATTACGCCTGTTAAATCGAAATCGAAAACCGAGTCGAAAAAAGAGTCGTTTATTAATTGGTATTCCAAAAATAAAAAGAATTTGCAGGAAGAATTTCCTGAGGTAAACGTTACCGAATTAACAAAAATCGGTTTGGCACGATACAAAGAAGTGTCATCGCAATCGAATACAGACAATGTGATTGAATCTTCAGAACTCGTCAAGAAACGAAAATTATCAAGTCCAGACAACGATAATAGCCAAGATGAAACAAAACGATCTGTTCGCAGCAAACTTAGTGAATTTGCATTCGACAAGTAAATTTTATTCGGCTACTTCATAAAATAATTTTAACTATCGAGCTTGCAAGATTTTAGGAAATTTATATAATAATTCATTATGTTTTGAAATTAATATCGTAAAGAGGAAAACAGTTTTTATAATACTCTTAATTTGCTTATAAACATTTTCAATGTTAAGTAGATCGAAAGAATTTCTCCCCTTTTATATAGTATTTTAGAATTAAAGTGTGTATAATAAAAATTTTATTTATTGTTTATTATTAATTTGGATATTAAAATATATCAATTATAGAAACATTTGTTTTTTTTCGTAGACTCATTTTAAAAGTGAGGTTATAAAAACCTGTGTTGTTATTTGTTAATTTTACCAAAGTAAGCAAGTAGTGATGTCATTAATCTGAGTATTTCATACTCAGCTCACTTCAAACTCAGTTTCACTTGTATGTAAATGGAAAGCAACTAATACTTAGTTGCTCCATTTACTCGTAGATGCAGAAGTGCGGAAGTCTCTGAGAAGATGAGGCAGATCATTCGTTAAAATGACAAGGTATTATTAATATGATGAATAGTGTTGCGCGCTTAGATAATTAAAAATTATCTAGATATAGATAAGATAAATGACACAAAAATTTATCTTAGATAAGATGAAGATGATTAATTTTACATTAATCTAGATAAAAGATGAAATTAAAAAACTTTTATCTAGATAATTTTTAAGATGATTTTGTTTTTAAGTGACTATTAGGTAGTAAAACGATACAAAAAATATATTCATATTTTTATAAATCTTTATTTTTTAAGAATAACAATTTTTCGAACATGTCATCTGATAAACGGTTTCTACATGGAATTAATATTTGTTATCCGCAACTAAAAAGACGTTCTACTGTCGCTGATAATGGCAATGATGTATTATATTTAAAAAAAATTTTTGTTTAATGTGTGGATATAAATTCAGAATATCTAATTCTTTTGATTTGTTTTCTAAATATGAAAGTACTTCAATGTCGCTTTGAATGACTGGTGTCAAACTACCAAATTTTTTTGTCTATATCGCAAAAAAAATCTTCATCACTACTACTACTGGAGGAGGTTGATTGTTTACATCAAAATTTCTTACAATACTCTTCTACGATCTTAGATAAATTGAAAAAGATAACATTTTTTTTTAATCTAAGATAAGATAAAGATAGTATATATTCTTAATAATCTAGATAAAGATAAGATATAAAGCTATTTCTTCATCTAGATGATTATCTAGATAATTTTATCTAGATAACGGAAAACACTGTAAATAGATAATGATCGGATATGAATTCGTGTTTTTCAAGTGTCCCAGGCGCGCTGCTCCACGTTTACCCCGTTCGCTCCATTCGCCCTTCCGTCGATAAGGCCGCGTGTATTGCAAACTTGAGATCCATTTTTAGCACGCTCTGAATCTCTTGGATATACTCGGCGTCACGATGATAGATGGCGTCGGAAATCCTATGTCGCACGAAAATAAATTCTTGAACGGCTTGGCGAAGACGGCAGGCAAACGTCGTCAGCGATCAGCGACACGATGAAAGGTAAGTCAAAATCTTCTCAGACTTCGCGATGGGAATTACTCGTCTTAAACCCCAGAGCTCGTTGAAACTTATCTGAAAAACTCGCCGTGTGCTAAATGTATTTCAAAGTCAGTACGGTATTAGGATGCCCTCGTGTGTACCTTCAAGTTGCATCATCGCGATGTATGAACACTCACGTTCCCGGTTTCAAATGCGATTCAGTGCGACGATGCCAAAATTAACTGGTTACTGATATTTTTATATAATAATAATTAATAGATACGTTAAACAGGGCGAAATAAGAGTCACAATTACAATTAAAAATCTAAATCTAAATTTTCAGATTTAGATTTTTAATTGTAACTTGACTCTTATTTCGCCCTGTTTAACGTATTAATTATTATTATATAAAAGAGTCCTTGAAATGTTCAATTTATTTTTATTTAAGTTTATCTCTTCTTTTTTGGAGTGAAAAAACTTACCGCAACTTCTCTATGTGTGTTGTTAGCGTTCCACTGTCATTTAAAAAGTATTTCGTCGCAAAACTGTATAAATTTATGACGACAACGAATAGGAGTAAAGCAAACAATATTTTAAATAGACTGTGTTATCTTTTGCGTAAAATATGATATGTGTCGAATGACCTTTCTCTGTCTCTTTTTCTCTAATGTGTACTATTTATCTTGTTTTGAACACAATTATGTATCATTTGTTACAAAAACGTCATTTCTAAACGCGCTAAAAAATTATTTAATATATATTTCGATAATATCCTATATATTGTATTTAATGTATAATAAGGATATTTTGTATATATATTTTAGCTATTTATATAGATATACATCTTTACTTTTTTTTAGTATAATTATTAGGTCAAGTGGTATTGAATTATTTCGAAACTCAACTTCATGTAAAAAAAGGGAGTTATCATTTAGATAATTTATCTTATCACTATGTCTATGGTAACGTTACAGGTTTTATGCGTTTTACAGCGAATCATGTATAACTGATTGTATAACCGAGTTTTAATTCGAAAAATGCGCAACACCGTGAAAAATTGGCGCGAGATCGGTAACAGCACTAATTACGTTAATATATTGTTACACAATATATTTACTCCTGCGATGCTCCTTGTTTTTACTTTTTAACAATGTCGTTTTAATGTATTTTCAATGATATTTGCTATTAACCACGACATATATCTTGATCCGTAATACTGCTCCGGCCATAATTATCGTGCCTTCCTAATTTGCGGTTTGAAGCAGCGGATAAGTACAATGTGTCCGTTTTAATTTTGCTGAACTAATTTTTGCAATTGCTGATAATTGTGCTTTGCAATTCTGAAACTCGCAAATACGTCATGTGAACAATTATAAATTCCATGATTAACTCTCATAATATGAATATATTATATATTGCAAGGATAGGAAGTAAAAAAAAAAACATTGGCCTGCTTGTTTTTTTTTAATTATTGTATCTTTCTTAGTAATAAATGAAACTTTAATTAACGATTTTTTATTTCTACTAATAATGTAATGACGGTCATATCGAACGAAGTTCTGTCTCAAAAAATGTATTTAAATTAATGCATATTGGTGACATATGTATGAATAATGCAAACCAGCCATGTGTGCGAACTTCGATTCGAATATTTCGAATGTTTTTCTCGGATCCTTCATCTTATTAAAATAAAAAGCATGAAACGATAATTTTTTTAAATATAGTCATATATATAGAAAGCACATAATAAAATAAAATTAATACAATTAATATTCTATACTTTATAATTTTGTTTTGTACTTTGGCATTATTATCTGCCTTAATCTAATATTTGATTAATTATAATTATATAATAACGCGTGTTTTTATTTTTATTTAATTGTTTGAAATAAATTATTAATATAATTTGTACATAAAGATGCATAAAAATTTTCTCAACGAACTAATTGTACAAGAATAATATAAAATAAAAATGAAGCTTATTTATCATTTATGTAATGTTAAAAAAGAATAATGAATTTTTAATATTATTTTCAAGTAGAATAAAATCTTTCGTTTAAAGCATGTAAATAAAATATGTCCAATATTTAAAGTACATCTGTTTAAATATGTACACTGAAAAAAATTTTGGTCCAATGAATGATCATTAATTAATGTTCGACTTGTTAATGTTATTTACATTAATTAATGTCGAATTTATTCATTGATACAATAACTGAATTTTCGTTTATATAATTATATATTCATTCTTGCAATAAATTCTAGTAATAGTTTTATAACCTAAGAGTTCATTGGACCAATTTTCATTAGTTAAAGAAATATTTTATTGTATTTACGTACAGTTTTGGTTCAGTGTATGTATATCTATTTATAAACGCGCGCGTTGACAAAAAAAGAGAGAGAGGGGGGGGGAGAAGGACGGAGGGGGGGAGTAGCTATTCACATCTACCTTGAATAGCTATACATGCGAACTTTATTTAGTTGAAACTTCAAAATAAAGTATGTACATAATACAATTTGTACATACATAAAGATACGACATTTTTCAATGAACTAATTGTACGGTATAAAATTAAAAATGAAGATGAAGTTTATGTATAGTGACTTACGTATAATAATGTTGCAAAAATTTCGATTTGTTTCTCATATATCAGATGGCTTTTTGTTTGAAACGTGTAAAACTTCAAAGAAAATAAGAACACTTCGCACATACAATAATAATTTATTATTTATTGTTAATAGATCAGTAACCGAATCCACATAAGTCCTTTGCAATCGCAGTCTTTTTCTAATCTCTACATTATTTGTAATAAAAAAACTGAAATTTTATTAAAGCTGAAATAATCTATATATTTTATGTTTAAATTCACAGATAAAATTCTATTTATAATTTTATACAATAACAAGAAAGAAGGAAGCACAAAGCAAAGCCTATCACGGTCAAAGCTAGATCAAGATGCTTATTATCATTATGTGCGAATTTATATATCACGTATAATGATAATAAGCATCTTGATCTAGCTTTGACCGTGATAGGCTTTGCTTTGTGCTTCCTTCTTTCTTGTTATTGTTTAACAATTGTACGGTCGTAAAAATAAGATTCTATTATTTAGTTATAATTTTATGTTTGCTGTATATAATAAAAAGAATAATTAAAGACTCAAGAGATGTGTGTAATATTATTTATTATTTTATTTATTTATTTTAATCCTTGCCTTGCAGCTTAGGATGGCTTCTGGTCTCTATACATTATATTCTTAATTTAATAAATCTTGTACACATATATATATATGTATATATATATAGGTCTATGAGATGTGTAATATGTAAAATAAAAGTATATGTTAATATATAAAAATATATGTTTATTAATTTTAATATAAAATGTATATTAAAATATACAATACATATATTAAAATGCGAGGCACAAAAAATATAAATAATATATACAATGTATACACAGAGACTACTCGATCCATCGAATAGTTTTTGAGTTATCTTTTCTACCAGTTTCGGAAGACTTATTTTGAGAAAAACGCGTTTATAATATTGGAAAGTAAAAGAAAAAAAAGTAACTTACAACTAAATTATCTGCCATCCGAGACCTATGTAGTAGTCCTTCAGCTTCCTTATAGAACTTGTTTAACTCGAGTTGTTTGCGAACCAGTTGAACCTCTTTAGTGTGTTTAAGACTGTGGCGCTTCTGCCTCGTCACTCAACATTGCACGTATCAGCGAAAAATTTACACTGCATTCCAATCTTGATGTCCAGCATTTCCATTACTTTCAAAATAGTATTGTATCCTTTATTTCTTATTCTTCGAAATATATATATTCCAGGCTGGAATATATACGTATATATTTCGAAGTTATATACGCCAACCATAGAATCATAACTCTCTTAAAATTTGAAACAGAACTGGTCGAGGGGGTAACCATTACCTAAAATGTTCTCCTACAGATTACATGATTTTATTTGATTTCATACGATTTCATCCAATGACAAATAATTTTCTTTATTATGTATGAAGCTATTTGGTATTATGGTAAAATAAATGATTTAATCTAATATTACACAATCATTTCTCATAGTTGCATATATAATTAAGGGAAAGAAACAAACAAACTGCCAAAATGAACCAACATTAGTTCTCAGTGTGTACTTTTTATAGAATTTATTTGGAATAAAATAAAACGTAAATGTTTCGACCTACGATTAAGGTCCTCCTCAATATAAAAATAATAATTAAAATTAAAATACATCCATGAGTAACGCATAAAAACTATAAATAAGGTTGTAATGTCCAAATTAAGTCAAATCTTGTTCATCAAATTGTTAAGTTTACTAAAAATATTTAAAATTGAAACTTAGAAGTTGTTTTTAACGTAAATTTTTCCTCAAAAAATATAATAAAATTAGCTTACATGATTGTCAAAATTGGACGATTTTTGTATAGTGTCGTTGTACAGATTCCATTAAACTGCTCGGTTTACTGTGTAGGCAAAATTTTTGGAATAAATTAATGTAAAGTTTTAATAATTGGTATCAGAATTTAAAACACATGAAATTTGCCTTATTTATTGTATTGACATGAAATTTAAATAAAAGTTATTAGACACGACATAACTGTTTGGCAGATCGATGTGAAATGAGATTACGAAACAATGACAAAATATACAAATAATATATAACAAAGGATAAACCATGTAGAATGGAAGCATTACGTCCTAGAAAACAAATCTATATACTATAAAGGATCAAGAGAAAATGTATCATTTTGTAAATTCAGGCCTAATTTTTGTTTTTTAATAATTAGTCTTTTGTTGATATATATGTCTCTGATATTAGTCTTTTATTTAAAATTTGTTCTTTGTCCAAAATATATACACTATCCTAATCGAATTTATGAGATAAATCAATACGATGTTGTGTGATTATGTTGTAGAATGTTGGGTTGTGTTTCTATGATATGATTTTTATGTTTATTTCAACATCATCAGTACGGTTAAAAATATCAAATTTTTTATGAAGTCTTTTTTTAATAATTGAAAAAATTAAATTAAGAAGGTAACCGTTATTGAGTAGAATTTTATTTTACTCCGTATAAATTGTATAAAAAGTACACACTGAGTGTTGGCTCATATTGGTAGTTTGTTTGTTTCTCTCTTTTGATTTATTCAAAACTGAGCCTTTTTATTATCTCATTTTTTGTAATTAAGGGATTATAATCCGATAATTATACAGGTCAGGATTTTATATGAATTTTATAATGGTTTCGGGAACTCTGGTCCACGATTATATTAATTGATTACCCCCTCGGGATTGGTCCTGGCACGACTGTTGTCGAATATCGTCCTTGTGTGATGAATCAATTGGTGCTTTCCATTTGGTAACGCAAGTCGACACAAGCATCATTCTATCTTTTCTTGTTATTCATTGAGTAACCAAGATAGAACAGTTTTTCTGCCGACTAGTGTCAACAAATGGAAAGCACCCAATAACAAAATGCACATTACACCCAAGCACGGACTTATATCTGCCAGAAAAAAACATCTGCTTCTATTAATACCGGTGACCGAACGGAACAAAGGATCTTGGCGCGTGCACCGTCTCTCGCGCCCATAATGCAATAAATGAGCTGATGGCTTCCTTGAAACTTCGAATTTCGTTCTATAATTTTGGAAATATATTTTTTTACATTTATACTACTCTCGATTAACCACTTCACTGGTAATGTATCATATGTGTACAAAAAAAAAAAGTGCCACGACTGGTAATGTATCATATATGTACATCTTTACATAACTTCCACAATTTTCAACGAATTCGCATAAAATTTGGTATATTATATTATTATTTAGATCGCTGAATACGAATCTGATGTCACAATTTCAAAATTCAAAATGGCGGATCCAAGGGACCGAAATTCAAAAAGTTACTTGATCTAACTGAAATTTGTTACTCGGGGGTTTTTGGGGTCGCTGATTACGAATCTGATCTCAGATTTTCAAAATTCAAAATGGCGGATCCAAGATGGCGGACCGAAATGCAAAAAGTTACTTGATCTAATTGAAATTTGTTACTCGAGAGTTTTTGAGTTCACTGATTTCATTTCAATTCAAAATGGCGGACATAATATGGTTTTCGACCCCAAAAACCCCCTAGTCAACATTTTCATCGAAATTGGATGAAAATAAAATGTATGCTTTAAAGATTTAAACGTGCCCCCTTGGGGTTTGGGGGGGGGGGGGGGGGGGGTAGGTGAGTTTTCTTTATGCCAAACGATATGTTTTATGAAAAAATGGAACCCGTGTTTCACAGTTTCTTGATATTTTAGAAACTGGCTCGTACCAGTTTTGGCACTTTTTATTTGAAAACGGCTACCAGTGAAGTGGTTAAAGAAAAAAAAATTTTTTCCGACTTTTTAAACCGATTACTCATGTAATGACCTTCGTAATTCTATACGAGTTTGATAAGATCATATAAAAATGCTATGCTGATGTTTCGCTCAACGATTGTAAACGTATCAGTTTATACGTATCACACGTTATTGCAGCGGAGTTGTACATCTGCAGTTGCATGTACATTTATAGATATCCGTACAGCATAATCGCACTAATTTGTATGTATATGTCCTGTTGGGTAATACCGGTTCGAGGAATTTTATGGGTTTGCTGTAACGGATCCCGTCGGATCCGTTGACACACGAGACGATTTCTGCGATATCAGATATCACGTATAAGCGGGATAAAACGTGAAGAAGTTTCATTGTGATGCATTTAATTATATGTTTCATTTAATTATAGTGTAGATAATCTGCAGGCTTAAAACAAGAATGTAAATTTTACTTTCGAGAATTGCACGAAAAGGCGTTTAAAAAATTTTTGTCACGAATCTAGATTTTCCGCTCCATCATTTCTATAATTTTTCAAGATTTGAGTTTAATAATGTGGAATTTATAATAGGAAAAAGAGTATCGAAGCTGACAATGAGTGTGTTTAATCGATTTTTACATTATTTTACAACATTTAAATCTTCTAAATGCGATAATTAAATAGTGTTAATTAGTATTATTATCATAAATTGTACGGAAATGTTACATTTTATTATTAGATTTGGTTGTGGAACTTGCGGTGTGTTTAGATTGGAGTCCAATATACAGCGATCAATAGAAGCTAATATCCCATCAAAACATGATTAATGTCGTACTTTGCTTTTAGATTACTTAACTTTAAGTTGAAGAATGAACAAAAGAATGGCAAATTATATTGAGTAATTTTACAATAGCTAATATCCCATCAAAACATGATTAATGTCGTACTTTGCTTTTAGATTACTTAACTTTAAGTGAAGAATGTACAAAAGAATGGCAAATTATATTGAGTAATTTTACAGAATCATTGTATAGATTAATTTTATATATTCTTCATAATTTAACTCTTTCGATTCAAATTATTTCTCATAAATTAATGCAGACTTGATACTTCATACTTAATTTAATTTAACTAGCAGCACTATTTAGAGGAATTTACAAAGATTCCCAAAACATAGGATATGTTAATTATAATCATTCTCTGATTCAAATGCTTGGAGAGCTATGCAAAAAAATCATTACAAAGCGTTATGTTCAGTCTAGCTGCTAAAATTATAAAAAGTTATTGATGCAGATAATTTTCTTGGTTTGACTTGCGAAACCATTTTCATACTTTTTACTTTTGACTTGATGGACAATAATTTGACTGATTAACGATATTATTTCGTTTTAATGTTACAATTTATATTATGGTGTATATTATATCAATGAGATTGAAAAAGTATGTAAAAGTCGAAACGTTTCTCATTTTTAAATTTATGGAATAATTTGATAGATATTGTCATCTTTTATTTTGTTGCTTGTTTTGAATACCGTAATGTAATATCATCATTTGTTGTTTTTTTTTTTTTAATATAACAAGCGTTATCTTTGAATTTATAAAAAGTTATATCTATAACTAAAGATTTCGGAATAAAAAAATTAATGAACGTATCTATATTTTTTATTTTTTTATTTTTTGTTAAGTAAAATTACTTTTACTTTTTGTTTCAAATGTATTATATGTTCTCAGATCACGTACCGTTGGACCCCATCCAAGAGGCCATGGGCTCCATGGGTCTATGGCACATCGTGATCGCCGTGGCGATTTCTCTCGTAAAATTTCCAGTAGCTTGGCACCAGCTCTCTATCGTGTTCCTTGCACCGCCTACTAATTTCTCATGCATCGCTCCTTTGTCAGCAACTAACGACTCCATGATAATGAAATGTGAAGTTAATGTTGGGAATGACACGATAGAAGAGTGCACTAAATTCGCATACGATAAGCGAATATTCCGAGAGAGTATCATAACGCAGGTAAATTAGTATTAATTTAATTTAATATGACTTGTGTATTTTTTCATATAACGCTATAAAAAATAAAATGTTAATTTTAATTCAAAGACGTTGAGTTGATATTCTGACAGATGCAAAAATGTTAAAATTAACATTTTATTTTTTACAGTGTATGTATTATCAATTAATTAATCGATAATTAAGTATTCTAATTTAAAATAATAAAAAGGTATATATGAATAATTATGTCAATATTAATTTTTTCAGTGGAATTTAGTATGCGATAGAGAGCAATTGGCGAATTTAGCACAATCTTGCACAATGTTTGGTGTGCTCGTTGGTAATTTAATTTTCAGTATGATGGCTGATAGGTATGTTAATTCGAAGTCGTTACACACAAAATATGCAATAACGTAAATTACACAGGTCGACAAAAAAAAAGTATTTCTCAAAACAGGAAACATGATTTAAGTCTAGGTTTAATCACAAATTTTTGCCAATGATTGTCTTAGACATTAAAAGCATATTTCAAGGTTTGTGATCCATTTTTTTGCTCTAGATTGAAAATTTGCCCAGACTGATCCTATTTTTATGTCAGATTCGTATTCAGCGACTCAAAATACATAAGAATAGCTGAGTCTCCATCCCAGTACGGATACTCTTTTTTTGTGGGTCTGTGTTATTATTTTATATGTTAATATAAATGTATATACGTATGTGTTTTTTTATTTTATTAATATTAACGAAATTTACTCATAGAATTGGCAGAAAGAAGCCGTTAATGATCGCGATTGCACTTCAATCGGTGACAGGATTTGCGAGTGCATTTGCACCGTGGTACGAACTGTTCCTAATACTAAAATTTGTTTGTGCCGTATCTACTGGTGGAACAATGCTCGTCAGTTTCGTTTTACGTAAGTTGGAAGCGCAATGAAATTATGATTTACGGAAGACTAATTTATGAAATTTATCAAGAAACTCCGGTTGCAGTTATGGAAATTATTGGGGTAAAATGGCGGTCGATTATGTCAGTTCTTTATCACGTGCCATTTTTAATTGGACATGTAATGAATCCCCTGATATCTTATTTGACACTTACATGGTATGGATTTCAAATGGCCGTCTCGATACCATCAATTTTCTTATTATCGTACTACTGGTATGTATATAAATTGCGTACGCTGTTAAAAGCGAAAGAGATACTTTTAAGATTCGTAAAATATTTATATCAAAGGAATAAATTATTAAGAGTCGGTGTTTTGCAAAAGGATTATTCCAGAATCACCGAGATGGTTACTAGTTGTAGGCAAACACAAACGGGCAGAACGAATTTTGCTGAAAGCTGCCAGAAGAAACAAGATACCAGTGGAAAATGTAAAGCTAGCGCTTGAAACTTATGAAAATCAGAGAACAATTCGGCACACGAAGAACAATGAGAAATACAATATCACGCATTTATTTAGAACTCCGAATTTAAGATTGAAAACTACATATGTGAGTGTCAATTGGTTCGTCTGTGGTATCTGTTTCTTCGGATTGGCGCAATATATGGGTCATCTCGACGGCAATATATTCATCAATGTCGCAGTTTCTGGTAAAACTTAATTAATATTTCTTATACTATTGTAAATTCTGTCACTATGTGTTGTAACATTTATTATGACTTACAGCCGCCATGGAAATACCTGGAACCATAATAGTACTGTTTCTGATATCGCGAGTTTCGCGTTTAAAAATTTTGATGGGCGGAAACATTTTGTCCGGTGTGAGCTTGCTTTTGATAACTCTTGTAACCAATGGAAATGTCCGGATATTTTTAGCTTCGCTAGGGCTTGTGGGAATGGCTATTAGCTTTCCTACAGTATACCTGTACAGTTGCGAAGTATTTCCGACTGTCGTAAGAAACGTCGGCGTTGGTTTAGGAAGTACTTCTGCCAGAATCGGAAGTATAATCGCACCGTTCATCGCCACAATGGTAATTTATGATGCGTATTATATGTATACATACATTAACTAACGTTTCTACATTGAAATAATTTTATGATCAAGAGTAGATATATCTTATTTTGTTGATATTTTCGTGATATTTATTTATATATGTACAAATAATGCGAGCTATCTTTTTAAGATTAAAGAGATGTAATAATTTATAGGGTACTATTAAACCTTGGCTACCTCCAGTAATATTTGGCATAGCACCGATATTAGGCGCTATACTCTGTTTATTTTTACCAGAAACGATGAATTGCGAATTACCAGAGACAATAGAAGACGCCGAAAACTTTAGGAAGTATGAAAATATATTACAAAATATTCCTATTACGTTGTAATTTTGTTAATATGCAACAAATCTTATATCTTTCAGAGAAAAATCCGAAGAACATTGACTTGGCAATTGATATCGTACTGATTTCGTACAATAATTTTCCATGATTAAATATCTCAAAGATATTATCACTATTACGGCACGGTTTTAATCATTTAAGTTATTTTATGCGACGACGTTTTTTATCAGGTATCGATTTTGTACAAAAGATTGGTTTAATTTGAACTATCATAATCTCATTGCTTAATATAATCTCTATCATGCTTGAAAAGAAAGAGAAATTTCATACATGATTTATACTGTTCGTCATATATACATGACATGTAATACCAATGTTTTGTATCACAAATTTTATATAACAATTATATGTATTTATATGTATAATTTACATTGTGTATTTTATTTATATAGCAATAACACAATGTATTTTATAATTTATGATTTTATAAATGATCAACAATATTACTTCTTTAGCATTAAATTATTATAAAGATAATATCTGTCGCCACTGCGCGCTCCGAGATTCAAATATGCAACAAAATTTTATGTTTATCAATGCTAATCAATATACAATTAATATTTATCTAATAAAATTCTTATATTAAATAGTTTTTATATTACAATTTTGATACAGACGAAATGTTTTAATACATAATTATTATAATTCTATAGTTATATTACGTATATAATTATAACATTTTAATTATATAATATCATAATAAACTATTAGTACTAATTATATAATTAATATTAATATAAGTCAATTGTGAAGATTATTATATATCGGTTTTTATCGAAGATATCAAAAGGTAATATTATAAGATTTTCAAATTTTAAATTGCTCTCCATTATTGCTCTTGTTTCTAAATAATGATTACATATACAATTATAAATATTCATTTCTTTAGACATTACTCATGTAGATCTTATCACAAGAACACATATATGTAAAATATTAAAAAATAATTCGAGATATAATATATCGCTTGCATAAAAGCGAATGTGATATAAAATCTTTATACAATAAGACTTCATCATTCACAAAAACTGCAATCTCCATATGTAATATTATACTTACATAAGAAATAAGTAATAAATAAGACAAAAATCAGCCTTTTATGCGTTTCGTAGTCAGCGTTAACATAGATAGGTTATACGTATCGTTGTAATGAAGTACAAAGTTCTAAATAACATAACACTGTTACATAACACCATTTAACTTGTTTGTCCCAAATAAAGTGCTTTATTCGGTAACACATTCACAATGTCATTAGTTCGTTTGTGCATAGCGTCGATCATTTGATTGCCATACTTAACCGTGTTACCTAAAGATCCTAGCCAGGAAGACATGAGACTTTTTACGGGCGTTTTTGAAAGCGCCAAATTATACGTTGTACCTAAAATTTTATATACCCGAGACATACAATATATTGACATTATCATTAAATAATATCATTTTTGTAAGAAAATTTTATACGGATGAAATAAAACTCACCTTTTAGAAATTTAATGATCGCCTTATTTACGGCATCCGATTTTTCTTGATGCGGAAAATGTTGCGCCTGTGGTATAACTTTAACCCTAGATACCTCTACGTGTTCGGCACTTTGAATAATGCTCTCTATTGTTACAAAAGGATCCATATTTCCGACTAGAAGTAGCGTTTTGTTATCTATCTGTTCGCCGCTATCTATATTCAGTCTTGCGAATGGTAGGTTGCGATAATAATTAATCGGTCCTGTCCAGTCTTCTACAAAATGCATTAGTTTGTATTAATTTTTTGAATATGAAAAACATAAGAGAAGAATAATATATGATACCAAAATTATTTTATGTATAAGTAGACTTATAATATTTACCTTTCCTACTGAAGGTGTATTTATACGCCTCGACGTAACTTTTTTCTATGTCATCTTGGAGATGTTGAAATATTTCATCGATAATGGACAAGTCCTCTTTAAGCGCATCTATCTCTGGCAAAAATGGTAATCTACTAAAATGTAGCCACCTAGAAAGTTACATTGTGTTTGCAATTAAAATACATGAATACAAAATTTCACGCACTTAAACAGCGCTTCTTCGAGTCCTCGGTAATCTTTATTAATGGGATTTCGAAAGTACTTACTTTCTGTCTAAAATAGAATTTCTTGATACCCTATTCCAATAGAAATTAGGATGCGGACTCGAAATGGCTATAAATTTATAAACGAGATCTCTGTGTAGAGCGACCATGTACCATCCCAGAAGTCCTCCTAGATCGTGACCGATTATGCTGCAGGTCTTCACCCCAAAAGTCAAAATGAATTGTTTCAACTCGCTTATTAAAATTTCGAGTTTGTAAGAGCGCTTGTTGAGCGGTTTGTCGCTATCACCGAATCCTTTTAAATCTATAGCCACTACTCTAAAACAGCATTAAACATGTGAGTGTCACATCTCCAACGTGTTGCTCTGTAAAATATTTTATTTTATAAATATAGATTTTCAAACGCACCTGTAGTGTTCCGCGAGACATGGGATCTGTTTCCTCCAGGACAACCAGCAGTCCGGAAATCCATGTAATAATAACACGAGTGGTTTACTTTTGTCTCCCGCTTCCACATAATGGAATTTAACACCCTGCGTTAAAAAAAAGCAAATTATTAATTCGTTCACACGAACGTATACCTAGTTCTTTGAGTTTAAAATAGAAAGCGAACTTTATGTAAGGGTTGTACGAATGCAATAAAAACGATATCTATAATGTGCGTATCGAGAAATGAAATTAAATAAATTTTACATCGGACTCGTGTATGTATAAACAGTAGCTGCTCTTCTATACGATTTGTAATTTTTCCTTTAGTGACGGAAAGAATCCTTCGTCTGCTTTCTAGACTAAACAATTTGATATCGTCGTAATTTTTCAATCTCCTGATAAAAAAAAAACGATAACGAATTTGTAATTAGCAATTCCGCAGTACTATGTTTAATTAGATTACATTCGTCACAGCAGACGCTAATTCTCTGTGAAGAAGTTCAAAGCACGCTATGATTATCGGAAGAATTTGCTTAAAAATATATATTGGCATCTCATTGGGTTATCATAATTCTTTATTACAATAATCCGCAATCGGGTTTTAATGTTTTCCAAAAATTAAACAATGTTTTCAGTTATGTTATGCTTTGGATTTCCTCGTAGAAATTTCATGCAGAAGAGTTTGTTAAAAAAATATACTATGTAATATTAATATATTATTACATATAATATATTAATATTATCTATAGGCCTTCTATAACATATATTATTTTTATTATATATTTTATTTTATAAATAGGATGATTTTTTTAAATTATACAGTATACTTCAGATAATGGTTTAGTTTCCATCAAAGCATTTAATATGGCATAGAATTAAAAATTGGAAATGATTTTTTTTGCGTTTTTCAGTACTCATTTTATTATTGCTTTGATCAATAAGATCTCTATTTCCAATAGAGACGAGATACTAAATTTAATTTGTACCAAAGTATAAAACCGGATTGTGGATTTCAGTGAAAATTATACAAATAAATTTAGAGTTAATAAATATAGAAAGAAAGAGATCAAAAAGAATTTTTTAAAAATATAAAAGACTGGTTTAGACCTTTATTTTCAAGTTAAAGAAAACGCTCTTAAAGTGCCTATTTCTTTATATGTGATATATCATATATTATAATTTTAAGATGTGTTATAGTATTAGTAAACATCAGATCACACGTCAGAAACTGAAGTGTAATTAAGAATCTTCCTATTTATTATGTTTATTTCCCAAGTCACATCTTTAAATCTGTCTTGATAAGTACTTGTCTAAATTAAAAGTTAATTAAGTCGAAAAAGCAGAGATAAGAAGTCGCACATCGACTAAAAAAAAATCGTTTATCAATATGTATAACGTATTTAATTTTACTCAAGGTTTTACTTGAGTGTCGCCTGCACTCGATGTTGCAAGACGAGTCCATGTCAACGACAGTTTAGATACATCTGCATTGATTATATTGCGAAAATTAAATACCGTTGTTAATCCTCGTCCTTTAGACAACGCAACAATAACACAATCGATATACAAACACTTTGATTCTGAAGTTATTATAATAGAGACAATCTAGAGTGAGATAGTTCAGCGTAAGAACGCGATATGATAACATTGCTGGATAATCGTACAATTAAATAATTATGATATAATAGCTACATTATTTATAATTTACTGAGATAAATCGAATATCTAAAAATCTCTTGTACATGAAGAACCTATATCGCGATTTTAGAAAATTATATATTATACTAATATAATTTTTTGATATTTTTATTAAGTACTTGTGTTTCCGAGAATGATTTTAGAGTCATGAAAAAGAGTAAAAGAGCGAACGATTTCTTTCAAACCCATCGTATTATCACTATGAACAAAAATATATATAGATTTAATATAATTAAATATAAATTTTATTAAAATTTAATATAATACTAAATAAGATCTTAATAACGATTCTAATAAATTTGGTTTTATTAAAACCTTATATAGATTTAATTTGGACCACATAATGATCCATATTAAGTTATATAAGATCATATATTTAAACTAATTAATTCAACTTATTTAAAACTTGTTAAGATTTAATTAAATTATATAAATTGGACTTTAATAAGATTTAAAAGTCGACTTATGGTATTGAACTTAAATAAGTTGTTAATATAAACTATATTAAAAATATATATATTTTATTTATAAGGTTATTATAAAGCCTTGTAATTTATTTATAAGGTTATTATAAAGACTTTATCAATTCTTTTTTTTTAATACGAATTTTGATGAAATCTTTATAAAGAACTTATAAGACTTTTATTTAGAATATATTAACTTTTTTTTCGCCGAGTAGCAGCGTTTATCAACGGACTCGAGAGATGTGTACCTTTCATCTTGACCCTATGTTCAGATTTTCACTCGAGCGCTAAGTACATTTTGTTCCTATTCATCGAATGAATAGAATAATATCCGAGGAGCATTTGGGTGGGAATCCGCGACCGAGCTTTTCGCATGTTTGATCGGGGCCATCCAGACGTCTCTGTAATGTATAATAATACTCACCTTGATTTTCACGTAGGAATGCGTGCCGAGGCTGTTGTCGACCAAACACGACGGCGGCTGGTCGCGCTGTCGCGACATGAAGAACTTCTTCGGGTCCCACACCCATTTGAGGAATCGTCGAAATATCAGGCACAGACCGTAGACGAGGGCCAGGATATGCAGCTCGATCGTCTCGCGCGTCGAGACACGCACGATCTTGCCATTCGCGACCATGGAAATAATCAACGGAGGATCTACAAAGCCGCTCGAAATTCTGTCTTCTTAAAGAAACGACCGCGCGGGCACGAGTGTTCGTACTTCGTGCGTGAACTCGCGCACGCAACCGACACGTGCGCGTTGTCACGCGGCGGGTTAAACGGAAAGAGCGCGAGACCGCGCGTTCCTAGCCGCACACTCGGCGAAGAGTCGCCAATCCGTAGTCTATACGAGAATTATATATCACGATTATCGGGGAATTTTTCGGTTTTATGGTACATACAGCGCTTGCAATTGCAAGACAGTATATAATCGTGTTCAGCGGAATGTTTATGTTGCGACTGTCAGCAATTTCATTACTTCGCCGAGATAAGACTTTTCTTCAAGCGAGATTTCAGAGTATAAGGGTTGGATTATACTGGCCGTAATCCGTTAACTTATGCCGTAATCTGTAAAAATTGACCAATTATAATCGATTATTCCCCTCTCATTCGACTGTGATTGGTCAATTTTTACACACTGAACCAAAAATGTACGTAAATACAATAAAAATATTCATTGGTATATTAATAAAAAAATTCATTATAATTGGTCCAATGAACAATTTTATTCCTATAATGATTTAGGTTTTATAAAATTATTAATTTGAATTATATATTAAACTATTACCAGAATTCATTGTGACAATGAATATGTACATTGAAACAATCCATGGATTTATTATAATAACAATAAACATTTTCTTTAATATATATAATGAATTCCATTATTAAGTTAATGTGCAGACTTTATTAACTAATAAAAAAAATGCGTTAATATAATGAATGTATTTTAATACTTCTATAAAATTTTATAATAGACATCTAATGAATGAATTTATTAAGTCTATGAACACATATTTGTTGGAAGAATGAACTTTTTCATTGATTTAATTAAATGTTCCATTAAGTTATGATATATTCAAGTACATTATATTAAATTCAGTTATTAGCTAATGAAAAATACTCAATACAATATTCATACTATCTATTAAGAGTTCATTATATCTTATATCAATGAATTTCAAGTCAATAAATGTCATTCATTGATACTATGAACAACATTTTTTTCAGTGCAGATTACGGCCAGTATAAATCAACCCTAATTCACAACTAGTATTTATTTAGCAAAGTATTTATTAAGCACTAATTTCTATCGAATGCCGCCAATATAACGATCACTCGAAAGGCACTCAATCCTAATTATACTGATATAGCGTGCTGTATTAACAGCTTATTCCGGATCACGCGTTAACTTTTGTACACATCACGTTTCTCGCCGAGTGATGCAACCGAGGATGCAACGATGATGTTCCGTAGATAGATAGGTATCTGGCTAATCTGGCCCCTCTCGAAGCTCGCCAGCGCGATATCCTATACTATAGTATATAAGGTTGTTCCACGACTGTGGAGAGGACATCACTGATTAGACTTTTTGTGCGTTACGAGCTCAGAGGCCACAAGACGACAGAAGGTATCGCTTTATCGGATCTCTTCGATGGGAAGGCATATCCGAAAGCCATCTTATCTGTCTGGCGACGGAGCTCCGAGACTTTTATCAACTTTAAAGCTGATCGCTTTTTTCTTCGCAAAAATCGATTCTCCCTGGCGTTCGAGTTTATCATGCATAAGCATGATATTCTGTAGCTCAGTTTCGAACGAAAGGAGAATAGCGGACGAGAAGAAAGTTATTATCTATCACAGAAAAAAAGTTATTCTCAACTTAAAATGATTATATTTCATTCAACCCGCAATTATTATTGTTTCCTATATAAGCAATAATATAAAGTCTTTTTTAAAGAATTTGATAATCTCAACTTTCAACAATGTTATATTCTTATGTCAAAGCTATAATAGTTATCTGAAAAGCACAATATGATTATTTTGATAATAACAGTATTTTCTTTCAACATTTAAAAGATCATATTAAGAAGGTAAAACTGTTATTTTTACTCTAATTTTATGTAGTGTTAAATATACATTAAACTTCTTTTAAGAATATATTCGTTTTTATTAAATGACGTAATAAAGTTACATGGAATATATTATAGAATAATAATTAATATCAGAATAATGTAATTGATATCGTTTAATCATTAATATGATAACTTTTTTTTTGACAATACAACAAGATTCGTAAATATTAAAGAACATTCGAAATAAGGAAGAAATTGTTATTACGAAATTTTTCAATCAGACAATTCAATAATATGAACAGTTTTTTTTTTTAGAGTAAGATATAGTCAAATAAAAATAATTTAATTTCAGTTTAAAGACATTTTAATTTTCGATTTAAATATATTATAATTTTCTATCCGATATTATTTCCTCTCAAATCAAGAAAATTATTATTGAATAATGAGAATATATTCTTTTTGATATTCTCAAAATAAGAATATTCTTTTTTTCCATGTAGCTAAAGTATTATACAACAGATCATCTTTATTAGAAAGCAAGACTCTCTCTCTCTCTCTCTCTCTCTCTCTCTCTCTCTCTCTCTCT